GAGACAGGAACAGACGGGTCTGTAACAAGAGAGGCAAGAACCCGAGGGACAAGGGGACGAGCGGCACGGAGGTAGTCAGACAGCGGAGGAGGTGCAACAACAAGCGACGAGGGAGGAGGCGACGGGAGGAGGGGAGGACGAGACGAGTGGGAACAGATCAACATAGGGTGGGAGCGCAGGACAGGAGAGACAGGACGAGCACTGGAGGGACGGCGAGACCAAACGTGGGACGGAGGTGTAGGGTCAGGAGACAGCGGAGGGGACACAAAAGGGGAACGAGGAGGAAGACAGGCCGGAGACGAGTCCGGCGGTGGGAACACAGGGCCGGAGACAGGAAGGTGAGAAGGCCGAGCAGGCGAGCGGTCGGGGGAGGGAAGGCCGAGCAGGCGAAGAGCGGAGACCGGCGGCGACGGCTGCGGTGGCTGCTGCGGCGGCTGGTGCTCGACCCGCGGACTGGCAGGGGCACGACGGCCGCTGGGAGAACACTCAACAGCAGCACCCCCAGAACCAACACCCCCACAGCGAGAACCCTCTCCAGCACCGGCGGCACCCCCAGGCCCGCTGGGACAAACCGCGCCAGGGGCCGCAGGACGAACACCCTACTCAACGCCAGCACCCACAGAGACCAAGAGCGGCAGCGGCGGCAGCGGCGTCGACGACGGCGGTGGCTGCGACGGCGGCGGCGGCTGCGACGGTGGCGGCAGCTGCGACAGCGGAGGCGGAGATACCGGGGAAGGGGGACGCGGTAAGGACGGGCCGGGGGGACCACCGGAGTCAGCAGACTCCTCAGCGGAGACAACCGACGGGAGGGGAGTGACATGGGAGACACCAGACGGGGCAGGACGAGGCGGGAGGGGAGCAGAGGCTACCGGGAGAGAGGGAGCCAGGAAAAAGGGGGGGGGAACCGGGAGACCTCGGTGAGGGAAGCGACGGTAGAAGGAGACAGACTCGTCAAAGGTGACGTCACGAGAGTGAACGAAGCAGTGAGACTGCGGGTGGTAGAACAGCCAGTCAGACGAGTCCAGGGGGAAACCGAGGAAGACACAGGGGACACTGCGGGCAGTGAGCTTGTCCGTGCCAGAGGCACGAACGTGAGCAAGGCAACCCCAGACGTGGAACGCAGACGCGTCACCGGGGGACCCGGTCCAAAGGAGGGTCGGCGAAACCCGCGGCCGCTGGGAGCGTGGCCACAGGTTAAGCTGGTGAGCAGCGTAGCGGACAGCAAGCGGCCACAGAAAATGGGGGGCATCGGCTTGAATCATGGAGGTACGAGCAACCTCCTTGACCAAGCCGATGCGGCGCTTAGCAACCCCATTCTGCTGTGGTGAGTCCGGCAAGGTGTACGACTGGGTGATGCCCTCCGCTCGACAGAACTGTCCAAGCCGACCAGAGGCGAACTCGCCGCCACGGTCAGAGTGGAGACACAACACGGGGAGACCGCGGTGAAGACGCGCAGCCACAACCCACGGGAGAAGAACGTCGGGCACGTCGGCCTTCCACTCCAGGGGAAACACCGTGGTGTAGCGCGTGTAGTCGTCGACGAGCACAAGAAAGTAGCGCTCACCGCGCGGTCCGGGGACGGGGGCTGGGCCACAAACGTCCAGGTGCAGGGTCTGAAGGGGAGCAGTAGCAGGGCGAAGCGAGGAGGAGTGAGGGGCACGGCGGAGCCGGCCCTCGACGCAAGGCGTGCACAGTGGCGCAGTCGAAGGGGGAAGTGCGGGGAGCGACTCGGGGAGGCCTAAGACAAGACCGTGCTGAGACATGTGACGCAGGCGCGGGAGAGCAGGGTGACCTAAGCGGTGGTGCCACAGAAGGGACGGGTGTGTGAGGGACCGACACGAGCAAGCTGCAGTGTCTTGGGAGGACGCACCAACCGAGGGGGAAGCGGTGTCGAGGGTAAACAGACGGGACTCCGGGTCCCGGGGGAACGTCGCAAGGGGGGAACCTGAGACTGCCTCGGTATAGACAGTGAACCGCTTGTGCCCAGGGAACGTAGTGGTGACGCCGAGGTCCTGAAGATGGCCGACACCAACCGGGTTCCTGGAGAACGAGGAAACGTGGAGGCCTGTAAGAGAGCCCGAGGGAACGGCTGGATAGGGAAGGGAAGTGGAGCTGCAAGCGACGACAGGACCCGCGGAGGGGTCAGCGAGAGCGACAACAGCAGGCGCAGCAAGCGGCGTGAGCGTGGAGCGGTCGCGGAAGAAACAGGCAGAAGCACCGAAGTCGAGAGTGAAGGACAGCGAGGCAGTAGCGGAGGCCGGGAACGGAGCCGGTGCAGAAACTAGGCTAGGCAAACTAGGCAGTCCTACGCTTCACGCAGCAGGGGAGGCTAAGCTACACAAGGGTGCTACGCCTAAACTAGAGTACACAGGGTAAATAAGTTCCAGCAACACTAGAAGCGTCAGCATACAAGGCATGCAAAGCAGCACCTATCTGATCCATATCTAAATCAAAGATCGGCACGCCCTGGCGAAGCAGGCTGTGCCAGTCAGGGAGGTCCGGGGCCGGGCCAAAGCGACGACGAAAGAGATCGTCGAGGCGGCGAAAACAACGGGCGGTCAGGTGCGGGCGGCGGCACAGATAGCCGCGGAGAGGCCCGGTCTGAAGCTGGTACTGGCAGGTCACACCAACGGAGCTGCCGGTAGACGCCAAGCTGCGCGGGCCGCCACCACGACCACCACCTACGGAGGTGTCGGGCCAACCCGGGGTGAGGCGAGCCCACGGCTGGGGCTGGGACAGCTGCTGCGACGGCTGCTGCGGCTGCTCCTGCTGCTGGGGCGACGGCTGCTGCTCCTGACTAGCTGAGGCAGTCCCCTCAGTAGAACCAATGTCCCCGGTACCATCACTACTACAACCAGCTCCACCACCACGCCCTCCCTGGCGGCCACGACTGGCGCAGCGCGAGCGTTGCTGCGGGTGTACCGCAGCTGCAGTGTCGGTCAGAGGGGTCGCAATGGCGACCGCAGCCGAAACGTCAGTAAACGTGTACTGGGAGGGGGCACAGCCGTGAAAGATAGAGACTGCCGGCGCACCGCTCGACTGAGCGATAGTGCGCTGGCGAGTCTCAATCTCGGTCAGGGCGGTGACAAAGGCTGGCAGGGTGAGATCACCCGGGTGCTGGCTAAGGATGTGGTCGCGTGCACTAGCAAGGCGGTCAGGCAGGTGCATGGCGATAAAGTAGAGGGTCATGCAGAAGGGGGGAGGGAGCGGAGTGAGCTGGGCAGCAGTGCTAGCAGTACGGTAGCGAGACTCTAGGGCGCGCAGGTGAGTGGCAAGGCCATCAACAGTAGGGAAGGAAGCAAGGTCTGGGAAAAGCATCGGGAAGAGCAGGCGGCCTGCAGTAGCGGAGGTAGGCGTGGAATAGCGAGCAACAATAGCTTCTAAGTAGGCCTTGGCTGTATCAACTGTAGCTGTATCAACTGTAGCTGTATCAACTGTAGCGCTCAGATACAGGAAGGGCGTGACTGATAGCGACCTGAGCAACTGCATCGCGAGAGTCCCAGACGGCACAGGCAAGTGCACGAGCAGAGAAAGTCTCACGCTCAGCAGAGGTGGGGTTAGCAGGGAGGGGAGCAGGCTCAGGGGGGCGGGGGAGCAAGCCATCAGTATGGAGAACCAAGGAGTGCCCATCCTGGCGCTGACCTGTGAGTTGACGGCGGAGATCGGACAGCCAGGCGTCGAAGTCAACCGCATGGCCCTCAGCGTCCAGGCGGAGTACGAAGTCAGCCATCGTGCAGGGTCAGCGACACAGGGACACAGCGGCACAACTCCATACGACACAGCAGCACAGGGACACAGCAGCACAGGGACACAGCAGTACAGCTCCAGGGGGACGTCTGTAGGACGCTCCAGCACTGGCAAGCAGAAGACACGAGGCCGGAGACCTGAGGAACCGTGCCGAGCAGAAGACACGGAGCCGCAGGAGCCGGGCAGGCACTGGGAGCTACGGGCCGCAGGAGCCGGGCAGGCGTATCGGGGCCGAGCAGGCGCTGGGTGGGGCCGGGCGGGCGGTGTGGGACGGGGGGGCGCAACAGGCCGGGCGGGCGCTAGCAGGGGCCGGGCGGGCGCTGTGGAGGGGCCGGGCGGGCGGTAGAAGGGGGTCGGGCGGGCGCTAGGAGGGGCGCGAACGGCCAGGGGGGCGGCTAGGAGCGGGCGCGACGGCCAGGGGGGCAGCTATGAGCGGGCGCGAACGGCCAGAGGGCCGGCTAGGGGCGGACGCGACGGCCAGGGGGCCGGCTAGGGGCGGACGCGACGGCCAGGGGGCCAGCTAAGGGCGGGCGCGACGGCCAAGGGGCCGGCTATGGGCGGACGCGACGGCCAGGGGGCTGGCTAGGGGCGGACGCGGCGGCCAGGGGGCCAGCTAGGGGCGGGCGCGACGGCCAGGGGGCCGGCTAGGGGCGGACGCGACGGCCAGGGGGGCGGCTAGGGGCGGACGCGACGGCCAGGGGGCCAGCTAGGGGCGGGCGCGACGGCCGGGGGGGGGGGCAGCTAGGGGTGGACGCGACGGCCAGGGGGGCAGCTAGGGGCGGGCGCGACGGCCAGGGGGCCGGCTAGGGGTGGACGGGACGGCTAGGGGGGAGGGGGGCCAGCTAGGGCCTAGGGCGGCTAGGGCCTAGGGCGGAAGCATGGGCGGGCGAGAGGAACCGAACCTACTCATGATACCATGTTAGAAAGAGAGAATGAATGGACTAGTGTGAGAAACCTAAAACATGTACCTGTTGGGGTTGTACTCACTAGAAGCACACCTAGGCTAGCCTATAACTTCTACATACAGCATATGTATAAGTTGACACCTTTTTTCCAGATATTTTGTGACTAACGGTGGAACCCGACTGATTAAACATGTTGCGAACTCACTAATTCCGATTGTTGATATCGTGTCACTGACCGTACATGTTATCGAGGCTCCTAATACTGAGCGCTGATGTGTTTTCCCCATTTTTCTCCACTTTCTGAATCTCGCTATTTACGCCTCAATACACTTCGATATCCTCCAACTAGTAGAGTAAGTGCATTTTTTGCTTGCAGAGGAATACACGCCAGAAATACACTCTTCGTCCCGTAAACAGAGTTATCTGACCTATTACTAAACCCTAACTGATCCCCCTAGCGTGTTTTTGTTATTACCACACCCACGTCTGCATCAGCCACCCAACACCCCATTGTCAGTGCGGGTCGAGTGGTGACCGGAGAGCCGCGCCAAGCAGACATCTATATGATTAACCACGCGCTGCGCTGCGACACCCCTGAAACAAGTCGCTTGCGACGGGTGCGATGGACCATGCGAAAGGGCGTTTCGCGAGGTGGCGAAGATGTTTACGAGCAGAGAGAGCAGCTGGGGGTTTACCGTGGAGTTAGGAGCAGCTGTCGCCCCCAGGTGTTCTTGTAAAGGGCGGCAGTGATCGAAACGCGGGTTGAATTTCGCCCCGGTGGTGTGCGTGCGTTTCAGGGGCTTCGACACTGGCGCCAATAGCTTCTCCGTGCGACTCCGACTCCTGCGTGATTCTTCGCGACTCTCCCTGCGACGGTCGCGAGTGAGGCTGGCGCTCGTCACATCATCATCCTCTTTAGAAGCTCCCTCTTCAGAGGTCGTATAGCTGTCAGCCTGAGTGGTGCCTCGTGTTGCCAATTCCTCACTCTCACTCGCGTCGTCCGCGCACCAGTGGTCACGGCTGCTGCCGCTGCTGCTGCTATAGCTGCCTTCTTCTGTGAAATCTTCGCGAAAATCTTGCGGAGAAGTCGGGGCGAGTCGTGCGAATGTCGCAATCTCCTCGTCTGTGCGACCGGCGACAAACTCATTCTGAGCGGCTGAGTCCGGTGCTCCTGCCAGAATTGCGTCGCGCCGACCGCTACTAATGCAGCTCTCACGCATGTCGTCGCTGTCGCCCAGGGACGGTTTGGGGTCGCAAGCGTCGCTCGTGGCGTTGTACGACATGAAGACGTCGACGTCTAGGTCGTCAGGCGACCACGGCGACGGTGGTGCCTCCTGTGTCTTGGGGCTCGCGTCGCAGAAGGTGCTGCTGGTGGTCCGCATCCTTAACGCTTCTTGAAAACTTCTGAAGGAAATCTAGCGAACTCTCTTGAAGAAAATTGGGAACTCTCCTGAACGAAAATGGCGGAGGAAATGGCGAACTCTGCAACGAAGGAGAGAAAGCGCGGAATTAGTAGTACAGCGTGTGGCAGTGTATGCAAGATGTGAGTGACGGCCGAATACAGTGTGAAAGGACAGATTCCAAGCTGCGGTGCGCCAATGGCGGTGATGTGATGCTGGCTGTGAGCGCACGCCAGGCCCTAACGTCAGTCCGCTAGTTGGCAATCGCCTGAACAGAAAAGACTGTGGTTGCACAGAGCCAGGAGCATCGGTGGTCCCAGAAGCGCGCGGCTGTGAAAATGCAGATTTTTAGCTTGGCGAGGTTGTCAGCGGTGACTGGCTAACTCACGGCGTGCGAAGTCAGCTTTTAGCTTTGAAGGTGCGTTGTGATGCTGGCTATGACGCAGACCACCAGTTAGCAATCTTGTGAACAGCGGTGGAGAGGCCCACGGAGCGCGTTAGAATGCCTAGGCCTGTTGCTGGTCCCAGGAAGGGCACAGGCGCGGAATCTAGATGGCTGGGGGAATCTCAAAGCACCGAGGGGGACAGAGGTGGCGAATGGGAGTACGGATATTAGCGGTTCGGCTAGGCTGGGTTGGGGGGAGTGATGCTGGGAGCCTGGATGGACGGGGGAGGGTGATTCGGCAATGGAGTCGATAGCGTACAGTACCACAGAGAGGGCACAGCTGGTGGGATGACTTGTCTTTATGTAATTCGTTGTCGGTGACTTGGCTCCACAGATGCAGCCACGCCAGACTGGTGGTGGGGGGCCTAGTTGCACCCTGTGGGCCTAGCTGGTAGTTCACCACATGATACCTATGGATGGTTCTTGGTCTCTGGAAAAACTCCTGAGGACCCGCTAGCGAGACAAGTGATTTCCGATGGTGTAGATGCTAGCAGAACGGTTCTATTCGTTACATATTGGTGTAAACGTCAAACCTGTTTCAAGCCTTTCAACCCGTAGAGGCCATGCTTATCGAGACCAACAATCGAAACCAGCTCATTGAAAAGGAAAGCCCCGCACCTGTATCAAGTATCGAAGCAAACTCCTTGAAAAGAATACAGTCACCACACCACACCCGTCACACCATTTGTTCGGTGCCATCAAATCAACCGTCTCAACGAGGTCTTCGCGTTACCAAAGCGAAACTAGGGCGGGAAGACTCAGAGCGGGTCCAAACCAGAGGTTTTTGCTAAACACCCTTCCCAGCCATTATTGGTTGCTGCTATTTAAACGCAGTTCAAAGCAAGGTACTGCACCGCTAACAGACATACTAGTCAGAAGCACCGGAGGGTTCGTGGCTACGAAAACATTATTTTATAACTCCAAAATCTGTCACAGCATTCAAATGAGCTACGGGGGCACCAGGCTAATACTGTACCCGCCCCCGTTTAGCTGGTGGTTTCTAGAGACCTAGGAAGTGTATCTATCAAGTGAATCTCGGGACGTCAAGCTTTGACGTCTCGAGCGGAACGGATGGTTCCTCCTACCAACAATGGCACCAAAACGTTTATGCTTCGGTAACGCTTCGGCTCGACAGGTTTCCACTATACACACCCCCTTACAGCTTCTAGTTCTTGTGGTTACATATCACATGGACAACAGATATGACTTCCATATGTAAAACAGTTCCTTGCTTATTTCTAATGGCGAGTATAAAGTGAATCACGCGACGCTAGTTTTTGCCAACACTACGCGGTTATGCTGGTTTCCTTAACTCTCGGAACGGTACGCAACTGAAAGATTTCGCCATCCTGACGTCAGGATTTGAATTCTTTCACGTTTCTTCTTCGTTGACGGACTCAGACTTTTAAATTGTCTCCACCAAGGCATCTTCACTACTCCCAAATGGCATCCCACACGGAAACCACATTTTCGCACAAGGGAGAGGGCGGACGGGTCAGTTCCATTTGTCACATCCCAACCTTAAACGCATTCGCATTCGTCTTCACCAAGACAACGCGCACGCGTCAGAAATCTATGCTTCATCCTAACACATCGATTCTGGGATTGTTGAAAAGACAACGAGCACGCGTCAGAAATGTATGCTTCATCCTAACACATCGTTATCGTTGTGCAAAGACAACATCAAATCCAGATTAAGGATTGTTGAAAATGATAGAATTTATGTTTTATGTACTTTTTTGAAATTATAAACCAACATAAAACATTTACTGGCCGGGGGTGAAGTTGGTGGCATAGGCCCAGGCGTTGTTCACGGTGGGGTCAGCCAGGTGGTCGGACAGGTTCTCGAGGGGACCCTTGCCGGTCACGATGGCCTGGACGAAGAATCCGAACATCGACACCATGGCGAGGCGGCCGTTCTTCAGCTCCTTCACCTTCAGCTCCGCGAGAGCATCGGGGTCGTCAGCCAGACCCAGGGGGTCGAAGGCACCGCCGGGGTACAGGGGGTCCTCGACCTCCTGGAAGCCCTCAAGGCCACCCACGCGGTAGCTCTCCACGGCGCCCATCAGGATCACCTGGCACGCCCAGATGGCCAGGATGGACTGGGCGTGGATCAGGCTGGGGTTGCCCAGGTAGTCAAGGCCGCCCTCCGAGAAGATCTGGGCGCCGGCCTTGAACCACACAGCCTCGCCGAAGTTCACGCCGTTGCCGGCCAGAAGCTCGGGGGTCAGGCAGCCCAGGGCACCGAGAAGAGCCCACCGAGCGTGGATCACCTCCAGCTCGCGGTTCTTCGCGAACGTCTCGGGGTCGGCGGACAGACCCGCCGTGTCCCACCCGTAGTCACCGGCATACTCGCCGGTCAGGTACGACGGGGGGGAGGAGAAGGGGCCCAGGAACTGGGGGCGGTCGGGGCCGTAGAAGGAGCTGGCGGGAGCCGCCTTGGCGGTCTTCCTCATGGAGACGCGAGCCTCCACATTGTTCACCTTGGCGGCGAGCTCAGCGCTCTGGCCGACGAAGGTGGACGGAGCAACAGCGGCGTTGGCGAGGGCAGCCATTTCTGTCTGCTTGGAAGGTAGAGGAAACTGGTGTGAAGGAAGTGCTGCTGAAGCTGAGGGACACAGTGTGAAGGGCGGTCTTTAGTAGGGTTGAGGCTGATCGACCCCCTATCTGACAAGCCTGGGGGAAAGAGCTTGCCTTGGGAATTGGTGGATGCTCGAGTCGCCGCAATCGGTGTGATGTGTCGCGGCTGTTTGATAGCCATGTGATGTGGCGTCTGAGATTTGGCGAAAGTCTCGTCCTCGCTCTGATTGGTCTCCTGAATTGCGGGTGAGTCGCGACTGGCATGCTCGAGCCATCGTGTCGAATTAGGTGGCCGATGCAGCTCCGCGTTACCGACTCCCACCACGCCACAGGCAGATATCAAAAGACGTACCAATATACAGTCTAGTAGGCTACACTCATGCTTTCGACCACCTAAAACATTAGTGAGGCATTTATGCAGTGGAAAATCACTTCCAATTTTACGAAAGCAAGTTAGCAATGAGCTCTACAATGGGTTTTGCCTTCCGAAACATGTCATACACACAAGGAAGCGTAATCTGCCGGGCGTGCTTGTTTTTCACTCCAACGCACAACCTAATTCACGAATACAAAAGAAAGAGAAGCCTAGTTCGAATGAAAGACCTCTATACAGCCAGCCCATCCACATAACCCCTCAACCCCCCTCCTCTCTCAGGCTGTCTCAGCTTCAGCAGCGCCTTTGCCTCGATCTGCCTGATTCTCTCCCGTGTGACCCGGAACATCACTCCCAGCTCTTCAAGCGTCCTGGCGCGCCCGTCCTCCAGCCCGTAGCGGTGCCACATCACCTCCCTCTCGCGCGGCGTGAGTGTGCCCATCACCTGCTGCAGGTCACGCTTCAGCAGCTGCTGCATCATGCGCTCCTCCGGGCACTCCAGTGTCAGGTCCTCCACAAATGTCTGCTAGGCGGAAAGGGGGAGGCGGGGAGAAGGGGATGGGGAGGGCTTAATGGAATGGGTCAGAGAGCGCAAGGAGGGAATGCTACATGTGGGCTGGGCAGCCTCGGTCCAAAGCGAAAGGGGAAGTCAGCAGAGGGATGATCATGAGTGGGAGAGAAACGGAAAGGACAAGGGAGGGGGATGGGGGAGAACGAGAAGGGGGAGGGAAGGGGGTGGGGGGAAGGAGGGAGAGGGTCTCACCCCGAGTGTGTCTTCCCCGTCGGAGGAGATGGGCCGGTCCATGGAGCACGGCGCGCGCACGTTGCGCACGGCAGCACGCAGCTTGGCAGGCGTGAGCCCCACCAGCACCGCCAGCTCGCTGTCTGACGGCAGCCGCCCCAGCTGCTCCCACAGCAGGTCCCGCGCTCTGCTGATGCGAGACAGCAGCTCGTACATGTGCGCCTGGGGGGTGCAGAGGGGGGGGAGAGTGAGGCAGGACGGGGAGGTCAGGGCGGCATGACACAGGCCGTTGCGCGGCACATGCCTGATGGGCCCGCCCCGCTGAGTGCAGCAGCAGCTCGTGCATGCGGGTCTGGGGGGGTTGTGGGTGGAGGAGAAGCGGAGTGATGGGGAGGTGCGAGAGGTGTGGCACACGACACATAGTGGCACATGCATCATGCCCACTGCTTTGCTCTCGTGCAGCAAGAAATGAGGTAAACGTTCATGGTAGCATGCATGGCAACGCGAGATGCACATGCGGGGTTCCACGGATTACTGGCCGATGATGGCACAGACCGGAGAAGAGAGAGAATGTGGGAGGGAGGCAGTGCAGTGAGTCGGAGATACAGTGTGGGGCGGGATCGCGGGAGAGCTCACAGGGAAGCTGTTGGTACTGTTCTGTTCAGTGTGATGGAAGTCTAGTTTTGAGGCGCCTCAAAACTGGGCGGGATCGCGAGAGAGCTCACAGGGAAGCTGTTGGTACCGTTCTGTTCAGTCACGGATCGTGTGATGGCAATGCGGCACGAGGTAAAGACGCATGACTAGGCGTGTGGCAAGAGCAAGCTGGGAAAGGGTACTGCAAGCTTGCCGGAAGTCTCACGGTGCGGGCCTGCTCGGTAACGAAACATGCGATGGCCTGGCGGGTCCACCAGTGCGCATTCGTAGAACTTGATACTGTCACACTCGTTAATAGCATCAACACTTACAGGCAAGCGGACAGTGCGAGTCTGTTCGGCGACAGAGCGTGTGATGGCCTGGCGGATCCACCAGTGCGCGTACGTGGAGAACTTGAAGCCGCGCTTGTGGTCAAAGCGCTCGATGCCCTTCATCAGCCCCATGCACCCCTCCTGTGGTAAGCACAGGGACAGGCAAGGGGACATGCACAGGCACACATGAGACCGTGTCAGGGAGCGGACGGAAGTGCGCACCAGACACCATACGTGCGGTCCTCAAACGGGCGCACGGGAGACAATGGATATCAATGAAACGCCACGTGGGCTATGCGCGTTAAGGCGCACCTGCGCTTCCCCCTCACGCCCCGTGGGCTATGCGCGTTAAGGCGCACCTGCGCTTCCCCCTCACGCCCCGTGAGCTATTCGCGTTAAGCCGCACCTGCGGTTCCCCCTCACGGCTCGGCTACTGTGCTAGCACCGCACCCACCAGTACCCTCCAACGGGCAGTTTCTCCCCCCAGTATCATTCTTCTCTTGGAAAACAACTGTTCTCCTACTTCCACAATCCTACCATTCACCCATCCACGAGCTTTCCCTTTCAGTAGTCGCCCCATGCACCCGTTCTCACATCCCAACGCAACCGCCCTCTTTGGTACCAACCACCCGCACTGCATTCCCACCAAGCCCTTCGCTCTAAGTCCCTTCTCACCGTGATGAGTTCCTGCAGGCCCAGCCCCCCCCGGCAGTACTTCTTCGCCACGCTGATCACCAGCCGCATGTTGCTCGCCATCATCGCCTTCTTGCACTCGCGCCCGCGCGCCTCCCGCCGCCGCAGCTCCGCCACCGCCACGCCCGCCGCCTCCGCCCACTCCTCCATCGTCACCGCGCGCCCCAGCGCCTTTTCTGCCGCATCCCGCGCGCGCTCGAGTTTGAGAAGCTCCTGCACGCCCTTGGAGTATTCTATCTCCTCTGCTGCTGTGAGGAGGCGCGGGTTACCCCCCGCGGATTCGAACATGGCATAGATCGGGTCGCCGGACACCCGGCGAAACTCCTCGAACGTAAGCTCTTTCTCTTCGCCAGCCTCTGGTAACCCTTTCGCTGAGGCTTTCGCTGTTCGTTTCGCGGGTTTCGCCGGAGTGAGTTGAAGGAGCGAGTCTAAAGCCGAGCCGGGGAGTGTCGACCGGCTGGCATACCTCTTTAATCGCGCCTTCTCCCTCAGCTCCATCCGCGTGCCTTTCCTCCTAGACTTAACTAGGGTGCGCACGCTACGCGGCTTGAACTGACCGGCTCCCTCGTTACTATCACCGTCGCTGCTGTCATCACCGCTGGCATCCCGCTCACTTAGATCACCTTCGCTAAGAGCAGACACTGGCTCGTCGCTCTGCGATGGGGTGCTGTCGCCGCCCTGTCTCGTCGACGACCCAGGCGACGTCGACAACCAATCGTTGATCTGCATTGCGCTGCTCGTCGTTTCCGAAGCAACAGATGCTGAACGGACCAACCCGGTGGTGCCACGTATACTGGCCTTTCCTATTTCCTCCTCCCACCAGAAACCATCCGTCTGGGGAAGCAAGTCGATAGTTATCAGGTCGCCGATCAAAGCGCTGCGCGCAGGAGGAAAGCTCCTCGTAGTGCTATCCAGCTGCGAGTTCCTCGAAGCTTCCAGCGGGGTCAGGATTGGCACCGGAGCACCAGCAGCGATCCACACGCGCCTTAACTCCTCCTGCCCTAGCTCCTCCCCCACCTCGATACAATCACGCCAGCTGCTCTCAGACGTCGCCTTAGAGGAACCCTTCGTTATAGCCACCCGCTGCAGCATGGCCCTCTCTACAGTGGCGAGCTGCGCCGCCTCTTTAGCGACGACCACGGCAGCCTGTGCGAGGTACAGCGCCTCCGCCGCTAGCGACTCCGCGCGTGCGCCAGACGCGGAAGCGAATCGCTGTGCGACAGCATTGCGCTGTGCGACGGAGTTATGCGGCATGCGAGAGTCGGTGAGCTCGCCGACGCAGCCGGAGGCGGCAGACGCGGCGGAGGGTGCCGAAAGATGCGGGTCGACTCGACGAGGGGGGGACGCATCGGTGCGACTGGGTAGAAGACGAACAGTATAGGAGAGTACGGAGGAGGGGAAGGGAGAGGTGAGAAAAAAGGGCAGACGTGGACAAGAGAGGAACCGGTTTGAAATAGAAATCCGTGCGGTCGAAACAAAAACCGAACGCGAGGACGCTGGTGGGCTACCAGGAAATTCACGCTGCGGCAGGCACTCGGATAAACGTGTGATTTCCAAGTCGAATTTAAACCTTTGACTCGCGTGTGACTCTTGGACTTACTTGTGAAGGGAGATAGTTGATGACGGGCGAAGGAAGACCCGAGAAGACGGACTGGAGGAGGAATGGGGGACGGGAGAGGACGACGACGAGCACACGACGTCTGCGACGGGTGTGACGGTTGGCTTGGCGACAGGGACAGCGATATCGCCGAGAGGCCGTCGCACGAAGAAGACGGATGTGGACGAGCCAACAGCTGGGCTGCTCCCTGCACGAGGGGAGGAAACGAAACGAGGACTTCGGAAATCTGTCAGACCGAATGCTCCGAGAACAAAAGAGCGCATTGACACTGCTTTAAAAAAAGTGACACTGGTAGGAGACAGTTGACACTCGTAAGATATGATTCTGGTCAGATATCTTCAACAATAGTAAGAGTCGTTCACAAGTCGCTAATCTGGAAACGCAGTGAGCCGTTAACCTTCTTAGGTTGCAGCGTTTCGCACCTGGTCTGTCTGACGGCGACCTGTCGAGCAGAAAGGCGGCTCGAACAGAAGCGACAGAGACAGCCATCCCTGCTGAGTGGGATTAGCAGGAAGGCACAACAAGCCCCGTGAAGTTAGAACGACCTCCCTAGTTTCGACGGAAGTCGTCTGGAACGTGGAACGACCTCGTTCGTGTGCTGCACGCAAGGTAGCGAACAAGGTTGTCCGATTCACAAGGAGGTTGGTGCCTGCCTTGTGATGGGACGAGAAAAGGCTTCTTCAGCGGCGTGCTGTGTGAGCTTGTATTCCTGCCCTGGGGAATGTCTGTCAGTCCGCTGGGTTGGAGTGGAGAAACACCCACCAGAGAGCCGTTGGGGAGAAATCGGAGGGGTTACCAGGGCGGGGGGGTGGGTGGGGGGAGAAACGAGGCGGAAAATGGGGGGATGCGAGTGGGGTGAAGGGGGTTGGGGGACAGAGAAGATGCTTGAAGTGCGATTTGGGGACGAGGGGGGAGATGATGGGAGGAGAGGGGGAGCGGAAGCAAAATACAGTACACTCATAATTCGATTAAATGTCACACAGTCGAGTCTGTTTTTTTGTTACAATCAACCCAAGTTTGGTTCAGGTTTGTAATGTCGCACGGAGAGCAAGTACCGTCGAACGTGGGTTTCCCAGGCAAACGACTGTACAGCGATACATTCCAAGCCATATGCGATTGGTGCAACAATGATAGGTGCAAATTTTTCGCAAGTGCAATTATTCCGTAGGTACATCATCCACGTACGCAACCCGACCAATGGAAACAGATGCAGACAGCATGTGAAAAAATTGTCGTCATAAGTCAAAATCTTGTGATCCACGTCAATGCACTCCTGCGTGGTCGACGCCAAGTTACGTTCTCAATCAACCAGAAACGCAAAAAAAAAAAAAAAAAAAAAAAAAAAAACCAAGAGGCGACGAGATCGTCTTAGGGTTGCGGAGCATTTCATGATGAGACTTTATTATACATAAAATGTTTTATTTCTATCACAACAAACATTTGATTTTTATTTCACAAACTTGAAAAAAAAAACCAGCCCGATCGATTGCAATATGTTGCTCCGCAACCAAAAAAAAAAAAAAAAAAAAAAAAAAAAAACAACAACAACAACAATATCAATGCAATCCACCCAGCCAATCAAAGCACGACATCTGCTAAGACAGAACGCAAAGGGGTTCTGGCATGTACTCCTCATCTGTCGGAATGTGCTGTATAATTGAAATGGTGGTTTTTATAATCGTTGTTTTACGTTGTTATTAGGTATTTCCAACTTCATATAGTTTCGAATATATCTATAGACGAGTCGATTGACAGTTTGGAGTCAAATCGTGTTTTGTTTTTGTGGCAACGCATCAATTAGCGAGCACACCTGAAACCCAGAGTGGACACGCTATGCGAACACCATGCGACATGAAGACGTTGACCCTATCACAGCTAACGACAGCGTCCCCGAACCTGTCAGCTGCGTATACGACAGCGTCCCCGCCCCTACCAACTACGCATATGACGGCGTTCCAACTTTCTTGGGAACGCTACAAGCAAATTTGCACAAGGTGTACCGCCCTATTCGCTGAGTGCCTCATTCCAAAATTCTTGGAGTTTGCACTCCGGAAATATGGCCTGTAACCAGAAAGGTAAAACAGTCGCTGCCATCCGAACCGAAATGAAACCGCTAACTTAAACGAAAAATTCGTGTATACGGAGTACCAGATCTTTTGCTTGTTCTGTAGAATGCGGCGATGTGGATGGAACAGCAGGAAACCAACCAGACAAAACGGCTGCTGATCATCGAATTGACGAGCTTCGCTCCCGTCGCAGAGCATCTGGAAGGCCTTGCACAAATGACACATTGGGATGACGTGGCAAAGTAAGACGGACTCGATGACATGGCGGAGACCGACACTAACAGCAGCCAAACATCCCTGCCACTTTGTGCTGTCATTGTGTGGATTTCGACTTCTGCGATGCGAGCTTGCCTGATCCAGCCACACGACCGTCCACGTCAGGAGCAACCCCGAGTGGAGAGCCGCGAGTGTGAGTGGCTAATGCTGACGTAGCACACCGCTTCCCGTTCAAAGCAGAAAGGCCCGCAGCAGATCCAGGACTTGCGGAAAGTGCCATACGGTTCAGGTTAGTTGGCGGGCATCGAGCTGGAACTCCAGGGACTCGTATTGGTCAGCATAACCAGAAAGCCAGCGTGGAAACTTGTCATGGAAATATCCGATATAACCAGCTTCACCTACTCGTCGGTTCGCAAAACGGAACAAACCTAGATGTGGACTACCGTCACTTTATGATATATATGAATACCTGAAGCTGCATAACAAATGTGAGGCATCTAGAAAGCACTCACATCTGCTAAACACGCATAAAAGCGTGATGCATGGCGCAATGATGACGCTTCACTGCGCTGAAACATCTTGGAACATCTCTCACCACACTAAATCTCCTTGCAACCCGTGAGCATCCTGACCTTGAGGAAGCAACCCTAGAAAACGGTCTCGTTTACCCCTCTCAATGTCAGGCCTGTTTTGATCAGATACGTGTACAACAACATTGTACTTATTCTAATCCTTCAATACAAGTATCACCCATACTATGCTGCAAAAGGCTTGCACGGAGGTAGGTGAGGGTGTGGCGAGTGACACTTCGTTTTCAAGTTTCACTACCAGTCCAAAAATTATATGTAGATACTTCGCGCATGATGAAGATCACATGGCGCCTCACTTCAAGAATTTACCATGGGCGTCGATTCGTGACCGGAGCAAGGTGGCGTACATTTCAGAATGGGTCGACTGCTGCAAAGTGGACACAGAATTTCCACGTAGGTCACATGTTTGGTTTGGCGAATCGTTGGAAAAATACCGTTTGGATAATATTGATTTAATCCTACGTATTGAATAAATGTAAGAATATACAAAACAATTTACTGGCCGGGGGTGAAGTTGGTGGCATAGGCCCAGGCGTTGTTCACGGTGGGGTCAGCCAGGTGGTCGGACAGGTTCTCGAGGGGACCCTTGCCGGTCACGATGGCCTGGACGAAGAATCCGAACATCGACACCATGGCGAGGCGGCCGTTCTTCAGCTCCTTCACCTTCAGCTCCGCGAGAGCATCGGGGTCGTCAGCCAGACCCAGGGGGTCGAAGGCACCGCCGGGGTACAGGGGGTCCTCGACCTCCTGGAAGCCCTCAAGGCCACCCACGCGGTAGCTCTCCACGGCGCCCATCAGGATCACCTGGCACGCCCAGATGGCCAGGATGGACTGGGCGTGGATCAGGCTGGGGTTGCCCAGGTAGTCAAGGCCGCCCTCCGAGAAGATCTGGGCGCCGGCCTTGAACCACACGGCCTCGCCGAAGTTCACGCCGTTGCCGGCCAGAAGCTCGGGGGTCAGGCAGCCCAGGGCACCGAGAAGAGCCCACCGAGCGTGGATCACCTCCAGCTCGCGGTTCTTCGCGAACGTCTCGGGGTCGGCGGACAGACCCGCCGTGTCCCACCCGTAGTCACCGGCATACTCGCCGGTCAGGTAAGACGGGGGGGAGGAGAAGGGGCCCAGGAACTGGGGGCGGTCGGGGCCGTAGAAAGAGCTGGCGGGAGCAGCCTTGGCGGTCTTCCTCATGGAGACGCGAGCCTCCACATTGTTCACCTTGGCGGCGAGCTCAGCGCTCTGGCCGACGAAGGTGGACGGAGCAACAGCAGCGTTGGCGAGGGCAGCCATTTCTGTCTGCTTGAAGAATGGTGGTTAGTTGTGACTTCGATGTCTGAAGTTGCTGAAGCTTATCGAAGACCTTGGTAGGGACTGGTTTTTTAATGGTTCAACAACCAGCGTGGGAGGGAGGGCCGCGAAGCTGGGCGAGCTGAAACGCCACATCGAAAAGTTGTCGTTTGGAGGGAGACGCAATCGTCGTGAGGCTGCGATTGGTCGGATGTCTCGTCGAGGAGATTCTGGCATCTCCGCCTTGCGAATTGGATTGGCTTGCGATATCCTCGTGGGGAATGCAATCAACGAGAGCACCACCCTCCACATGGTGGTATGACCTTTTAGCGAACGCAAAGTCAACCATTGTGTTTTTATTATTATACCAGCATTTTTGGGTTGCGTAGCAACCTTATAAATTGTTTTCGCGCACCAGGGTTACTACACATCTAAATTGTATTTCAATGTATTTTACACTAGTATACTGCTCTAATATAATTATTATGTATGTTTCATCTACCAATGTTCGTCGATAACTACGGAGGACAATGGTATAAACACGTACATTATGGTAATTCTTTATTTTATGCAAGAATTGCGCAAAAACCTTTCGAAACATCCACAGGTTACATATATCATTCCATTACACACACATTCCAATTTTTGCACAAACAACAAAAATTACCATACCATAGTGACTCATCACTTGTAAAAAACGAACAGATAAAATAACACATAGAACAAACGAAACGGAAAATATGCTCACGTGCAATATGTGGTAGTTCATTTGGGGTTGTGCACTGCTCGTCATAGGACAGTCGTTTCAGTCACTTGAACCGTCGCACCTCTTCATTATCACCTAGGGCGTATAGCGCGATAGTGACGAAGAAGTGCATTAACGAATAGGTACTTTCCTATAGCTATAAATCCTTGTGTCTTTTTATTATTAACCTTGAGATTTCAACATTGAGAACTTGAGACTTGACTTCAGCAGAACTATATACTTATGTTCACTCTTACAAGACTTCCGCTGTCTTACTAGTCTACCATTCCAATAAAGATCCTAGGCTAACACTTGAGGTTTTCCAAGTGTTTGTGTTTGCAGATTCTACACTTAGTCTCTTGCAACACCTCTCAAATTATTACATGGTATGAGAGCTGTCTGGAATTAAGACTACTGGACCGTTTCCACCAGCTTATGCGCACATCGGCATGCAGCAGAATCCGCCTGCTGTCAGTACTCCAGGGATGTCATCAACTGCCCCTGCAGCGCGACAACAACAAACACAGGCAACAGCACAACATCAGACAACAGCTCAACAGCAAGCAACGGCACAACCACCGTTTTCTACTCAATCAATATCGTCAACGTTTAGTGGAATGAGTATTGATGGCTCAAGTTATATGCGTGAAGCTACTGCTCCAAGTTCTGGCTCATTTGCCTTCTCACATTTTGCACAACAGCCACAGACGCAGCAGCATCATCCCTTCTACATCTTTGGGCGTTCACTTGCTCAGCAACAATCACAGCAG